GTTGCCGCCCGCCCTCCTGCAGCGCCCGTAGCGCGGCGGTGTCCAGCCGGAGCAGGAGCAGGCTGGTCCGGGCAGCGGGGGAGAAGCAGAACCTTAGCGCGCCGCGCAGGGGGTCCCAGGGTCGCTCCATAGCTCGGGCGGCACCTGCAGCGCCGCGTCCTCCGCGCACCTAGGTCCCGCTGCCCCTGCGGCGCCGGCTTCCGCCCCGCCCCGGCCCCGCCCCGGCCCCAGTGGGGGCCTAGCTAGGCGTCCCTGAGGACCCCGGGCCTCCCCCGGCCGGCCCTGGGCCTCCTTGGACTTTCGGAAGGGCTGCCCAGGACCTGGGAGGTAGCCTGCGGCCAGCGTCCGACTCCCCTCCCAGAAGCCCCAGCCCTGCCTCAGTTTCTCCACCCGTCCTTGGACTCAGCGCTGCCGTCTCTAAGTGAAAGCTGAACCCGCAGCCCCGGGAGGTTCAGCCACAGAGAGCGGGGCAGGCCGGCTGAGCCCAGGATCCGAGGGGCCCGGGAAGAGCAGACCCGCGGGCTGCGGGAAAGCCAGTTCCCACCGAGGCTGGAGCCGCCGGCCTGCCTGTGAGAGGTGGCGACAAAGCGGCTGCCTCCCCTCCCCCCGGCGGTGCCTGTAACTGACCAGGGCTCCCAGAGGTGCAGACCCAGCGGCACCCTCCCGTGGTGTCGCTCTTGTACCTCTTTGTTATGCTTCCCAAGAATCCTGATGGGATTCCCCCTCTACCCCACCCCACCCCCCACCCCCCGCAGGATCTCACTGTTCAGTCTCTGGATCTGCATATTCCCTGGTGACCTTAATTCTCTCGCTCTGAGTCAGCCACCTGTACATTTGTTAAAACCCATCAAGCAGCACACTCAAAATGTGTATTGCATGTAAATTATGCCTCAGTTAAAGTTGATGTTTAAAATCAGTACAGTAAACCACCAACTCCAACCACAAAAAAACATTGGCTTTTCCATCAGGCGTCTCTGTTTCTCTGGAGACAATTTGATAAGCAGTTTCGGCAATAGGTAAAGCTGTTATCCTCAGATGCCATAAGTGGCCTTGTGCAGGATTTTCCTAGGTTTAAACTCAAAGGAGAGACTAGAATGGTGAAAGTTTCAGAAGAAACCGGGTAATTTCAGCATCAGGGAGCTGAGATGCAGGGATGCCTTGAGCCCAGGAGTTCAAGACCAGCCTGAGCAAAGAGGGAGGGGGTGGGTGCTACACTTGGTCTTAGACAAAAGGTTGAGAAACCATGGGTGTAAGAGCAGGTGACTGGGAAGATATTTAGAGAAGGAAGGAGATAGGTATCTCACATTTGTTAGGTGTCCATTGTGTATCAAGAACTTTTTGGGCCGGGGATTTAGCTCAGTGGTACCCCCACCTGGCTGGAAAGCACAAGGTCCCGAGTTTGATCCCCAGTACCAAAAAAAAAAAGACCTTTTTTATTTAATCCCTACAATAACTTTTTAGAGTAGTATTTGTGTTAGCTTTGCCTCATTGTGGCCAAAATACCTTAGAACATCAAGGTAAAAGTTTATTCTGGCATATGGTTTCAGAGGTGTCAGTCCATGGTCTCCTGGCTCCATTCCTTTGACCCTGTGGTGAAGCAGAAACATCATGGTAGAAGAGTGTGACAGACCAGGAAACAGAGTGGATGGGGGGCCTAAGAGAGAGGAAGGAGCCAGGAGGAAGACACACTCTTCAGAGGCACACCTCCAGTGAGCTGCTTCCTTCTGATAGCTCATTTAGCTATGGACTCATCAATGACCTAATCTATTGATAAGGTTAGCACCCTCGTGTTCCAGTAAATTCTCCAAGCCCCATCTATGAATGTTGCTGCATTGGAGATTAAGCCTCAATACATGAGTTTTGGGGGACACTTTGCCTTTAAGCCATAACAATATTATCCACATTTTTCATTCATTCATCTAATATTTATTGAGCACTTACTCTGTACTGGGCACTGTACTAGACACTTGGGATACATCAATGACGTTCTTACTTTGGGAAAACTTACATTCTAGAGGAAAGGAGACCCTAGAAATAAACATAAGAAATAAATATAAGAAATATTATGGTGTAGATCTGGGCATGGTGGTGAGCCTAAAGGCTCAGCAGGAGTGTTGGGAGGAGCTGTCCCCAGGCACAGGGGACGCCCAGTGCAACTCTGCAAGTCAGAGTTCCTGCAGTGTTGGAGGAAAAGTGGAGCCAGCTGAGCTAGAGACAAGATAGGAGAGAAGAGGGCACAGGACTGCAGAAGGCTTTGCTGGCCACTGGAAGGACTTTGGCTTTTGCTTTCTGTGAAATGGAAAGTGCTCGAAGGGTCTTTGAGGAGAGTACACCATGAAGTCACTTGGATGTTGAAGCAGTTTTGATATTAGATAACAAGGGACAAGGATAAAAGCAGCATTGGGTCAGGGAGCCAACTGCTGCGCAAGCGCAAGGGCCCGAGTTCGATCCCTGGTACCAAGCCCCCCCCCCAAAACCAAACAAAGAAACAAAAAAAACAGCTTGACAGATTAGGGATCATCTAAGCTAGGGAGGAGGCATTTGGACCAGACGGGAAAAGTGTAGAGGGCTCTGAATATATTGGGGGAGCCCACAGGGTTTCCTGATATGGGAGAAAAACGGTATCAAGGCTGATGCCAGAAGTTTTAGCCAAAACAAGAAGGTTGGAATTGCAGATAAAATCCCTGTAGGAGAGAAGATAGGAGGGCAAAGTTCACTCTGAATGTGTGGCGTTGTCTGCTAGAGTCCACATGGAGACGTAGGGAGACACATTGAAAAATATGGTGGAGGGCCGGGGATTTAGCTCAGTGGGTCCGGCGCCTGCCTCAAAAGTGCAAGCTTCCGAGTTCGATCCCCGGTACCAAAAAAAAAGAGAAAACTATGGTGGATGTTTACATTCTTAAAATTTTATTACAGCCGGGTATGGTGGTGCACACCTGCAATCCCAGCACTGGGGAGGCTGAGGCAGGAGAATTGCCTCAAATTAAAGGCCACCTGGACTTACTATAGTGAGTTCAAGGCCAGCCTGAACTACATAGAGAGACCTTGTCTCAAAAAAAAGTTTTTTTATTTTTTAAATATTAAAAAAATTTTAATTAAATAAACCAAATAAAATAAATTAACAATCTATTAAATTAAAAGACACATTGCCATTAATCTCCTCAAAATAGTCCCCTCACTTTGAACATACTCATCCTATCTTTTTTTTTTTTTTCTTTTGAGTCAGGGTCTTGCTGTATAGTTCAGGCTGCCCTTGAACTCACAGAAATTCTCCTGCCTCAGCCTCCTCAGTGCTGGGACTACAGGCATGTAACACTATGTCCAGCTTATCCCATCATTCTTGTCACTTTCTGAAGAAATACTAAAAGTCCTCTTTTATTAGGATCTTTAGTTGCACTGATGTGGTTGCCTCAATATCCTGAATTGATTCCAAATACTTAAACTTTCGTGGTCATTTTGACTTTGGGAAAGAGCCAGAAGTCTTGTGGTGCTAGATTTGGTAAATAAGATGGATGTGGACAGGGCCAGGGATATAGGTCAGTGGTTCTGCCACCTGCCTCGAAAGTGCAAGGTCCCGAGTTTGATCCCCGGTACCAAAAAATAAAAAAGATAGATGTGGATTTTTTTACCAGCCTGTCTTTCCATTGCATGGCACTCGGCAGAAACACTTGCTGTATTTTTTATCACACCTTGTAAAGACACTCACAATAGAAGACTTCCAGAACTGCTTCAGAAATGATGAGGTAAGTGTGTGCTCATTGAGGGGGAGTATTTTGAGAAGGATTAAAAGTAATGTGTCTTTTATTATAATAAATTTTAATCTAAACACTGACTGTGTGTCTTAGTCACTTTCTTATTGCTGGAACACAAAACCTGACACCTGAAATCTTAAGGAGAGGTTTATTTTGCCTCACAGTTTCAATCCATGTTTGGCTGGCTCTAAGACAGAAACAGGATGGCAGAGGGGCAGATGGAGGAAAAGGTGCTTGACTTAGGAAGCCAGGAAGCAGAGAAAGAGGAACAGGGACAAGAATCCACCCTTCCAGGTCACTTACCTAAGAGCACATTCAGCTCCTGACCTCACCAGTGGATGAATCCACTGATAAGTGTGGTGTGCTTATGATCCAGTCACCTTTCAAACACATGAGAATTTGGGGGGACATTGTAGGTCCACACCATAACACCATACACTGATAACGCATACACTCCTACGTAGGTTTGGAGATAGTGAAGCTTTCTGGGTTAGGTTTGTAAACTTCATAGCACATTAAACATATAGACAGTATTTAAAACCCAGAGACAGGAAGATGGAGAAGAGCCTAAGGGTTTGGACCCTGGGGCCCTCCATCTCCTGAAAGAGGTCAGGAGGAAGAAAAAGTAAAACCAGTTGAGAGGAGATGACCAGTGAGGAAGGAAGAAAATCGAGCCAATGTGATGTCCTAAAACCCAAATGAATGCCTGGCACTTGGAAGGCCCTGGTTTCCATCCCAAACCAAAACATAAAGTGAAGAAAATGTTTCCGTGAGAAGGGAGTAGTTGCCCATGTTAAATGCTGTCTGTAGGTCAAGCAGAATGAAGATTAACCATTAAGATTGACCATTGCCTTAAGATGTGTTATGTGCCTGCACCTATTCCCCCAGGATGAATGTAGTTGTTATGTATTGCAAACGTGGACTAATAGAAATTTAAAAAAAATTTTTTAAATGAATTGACTAGGGGCCCGGGGATGTAGCTCAGTGGCACCATGCCTGCCTCCAAGAGCAAGGTCCTGAGCTCGATCCCCGGTACAGCCAGAAAAAAAAAAAAAAAAAAAAAAAAGAATAGACCATTGCCACCAGACATGGTGGCGTATGCCTATAATCCTAGCGAGATCCTGTTTTGGCTCCGGAACGCTGCAGAGGTCACAGATGTGAGGTCTGTGTCTGCCACCACGGCCACACTTGCTGCCTGGCCTCCTACTCGCCAGTGGCCTTTGAAGGCAACCCTTCCCCCAGCGCCGAGGACATCAAGCAGATCCCTGGTACCAAAAAAGAATAAATAAATAAAACCTTAAAGGGGTGGGTGTGCAGTTCAGTTGTAGAGCTAACATACACAAGGTGCTTTGGCATTCCAAAAACAAACAAATACACAGAGAATATTAGAAACCTAAATGTTTGTTTGTTGAGACAGGGTCTCACTGTGTAGTCCAGGCTGACCTGGAAC